TTTTCAAGAGCAGTCTGAAGATTCAGACCACAATTTTCATAATCTTGTTTGATTGTTTTAAGAAATGATTCAAAAAAAGCAGAATTAGACCTAAGAATAAATTATTTTAGAAAGCTTTGGATGAATTACAAAAAATTGATTATATAGAATATATACTTTAGATCGGTCAGATTAACATCAAGTCTTTCTGTTTCCTAGGTTTTATCACTGCTCTGAGGCACATTATTTGATGTTATACTATTCTTATGACCTTTAGAATTGTTGTTATTTGTACAGGCATGTAGTGAAGCATAAAAAGAATGATCATTTAACATGAGCTCTTAAAAATTAAAATGTTATTACTATACATTATATCAATAATTAATTAAATAAGTTAAATAGTTAATTACTTACCAGATGCAATATATGCAAAAATTGCATGATCATAAGGCATTAATGATTGAAAAAAATTCAGTGATCTGATATGGTACTTGGCAGCTACTGCATCTTGGTGTTTACAAGGTCCTTCAGATAATCCAATAAAGCAGATGTATATAGAAATTTCAACATTTACGGTATAAAATAAATCAGTATTATTTTCTTGACTCGGAATCAGATACTCTGATTCTATTTCGGATTGCTGAATTTTTGCCACATTAATTAATTCCCAACCAGAACATAAAAATCATTTAGCAATTTGACGATGACCAAGGTGACTATGTGCAAGTGCAAGTAATCGATGTTCATAGAACCGTTCCATGCTCGTAATAATAAAATGGAATACTTGGACACTATTGTATGCTTGTGTTCATGTAAAGATAACATCTTTTAATAACCGAAAGCTATGCTCTATGTAATTGTTTATATGATTTTCTCATATAAAAGTCCAGAACAAAATAATAAAGCCCAAAATGGTTGCTGAACCCAAAGTAATTCAAAGTGCTTATGCAACTGTGGATATGTAGTATAATAAATAGACCTTAATTCACTATAAAATTTTTTCATTTCAATTTCCGTTTGTGAGTATAATATTTTTTGCATGATTTTCATTATAGAGGTTCTGTGTTCTTTATTTATGTTATGCTTAGGATTATGTAGCCAACACCAAAATGCCTGAAAGATGTAGAACACATACAATAATTAGTTTGACTGTGGCCAACAATTCTTTAATGCTGTTCATTCAGCATTCAAATCATCTATAAGAAAAATCATGGGACCAATATTAGATCCACAACCAAAAAAACAATATGGTAAAAGAAGATGTTTTAAAAGATTGAACCTCTTTTTAAGAGTTATTGCTAATTCATCTGATGTTATAATAAGTCCAAAAGGTAAGGCACCTGTAATACAACTTGTGTAAAGTAAGGTAATTGAAGTGTTTAATTGTTCAAATAATGCAGATGCATCGATGTAACAGAGTTCACCTGCTTGTCTAATCTTCTCATGAACATGGCTCATTAAATTGGTAACTACACACAAAATGAATGCATTTTTTGATTGTAAATCATACTCTTGAAGTGCTGCATGATCTTGTCCTGAATCATTATATTTGTCAACCTCATATTTAAGATGTTAAAACATTGTTATGCCATTTCATGCTTCAAGATGTTCATCACGATATTGTTTAAACAGATTTAAGACATAATCATAATCAGGATTTTGTGCACGATCAGCCAATAGTTGTATTAATTCCTGATCATTGCTTGCACAAAAATAAATACTATCCTCATAAGTATATAAGGCTGTTGCTGATAAATGCCCATTAGTAAAAAGCTCAAGATACTTTTTACGAACTTCTTCTTTGACAAGTCAAAAACTAAGAGATTCAGCAGAATTGATGACATGATTATGCAAAAATTTAATATTGACCTTAAGTAGATAAGTAGTTTGAATATGCCAATACTCAAGCCAAAGATGAATCATTGCCATGCATTCTGTATTTTTGACATGTAGTGAATAGGGCCTTTTTAATTGTGGATTTCTCTGTTTTTCTTTGACTTTATTACTGTGAATACAGTGATGTAATTCATGAAGAATAACCTTTTTCCCTTGAACTTGAAATGATTTTGTTTCATGCATTGTGGTCTTTAATGTTTCTTTATATTCAGAAAACTATTAATGTGCACCTTCAATATTATTAACATTAACAAAAAAATTTATTTCAAATTGATCAATTAAGAACCCTTCTGGAGTAATATAGTTTAAAAGTTGTTGAATTTCAAAAACCATGTAATTATAATTTTGTGGAAGAATAGTTGCAACATTTTCTGATAACGATCCTGCTAATGGTTCTGAAGACTTTGGTATGCTATTTGGTTTTTCCATTGTATCATGCATTTAACAGGGTTAAATAATATTAATATGTAAACTTTAAAGGGCAGTTTATTAATATGTAAACTTCAAAGATCAGTTTATTAATATGTAAACTTCAAGAGGCAGTTTATTAATACATAAACTTCAAAGAGCAGTTTATTAATATGTATACTTCAAAGAGCAAGTTATTAATATGTAAACTTCAAAGAGCAGTTTATTATATTACAAAGTGTAATTCAAATCAAGACATGCCTTTACTGTTTGTAACATCACTTGGTAAATGTTTCTTGGGTTTTGTATTACAGATATGCATATTCGATCACACCTTTGTTTGTTTTTTTCTACTTTTAGTAAATGAAAGACTACCTTTTTTTTATTTCCTTTTTTTTCTTTTATATTATATTAATAATTATTACATCATATTCGTAACACACATTTAACTCACTTTGTATATCACAGATTTAACTTATTATACTACATATTTATTTAACTTATACTTTACTATATTACTTTAAATTAATCATTCTTTAATCTCTTAATATAATAATATTTATTTTATTACATAGTTTTTGCTATACACATTTTTTAACTTATGCTTTCATATTTGCTACATATATTTTACTATACTTATACTTTTACACATAGTACTTTAAATTAATTGCTCTTTAATCTCTTCATATTAATATTTATTACATAATGTTCATCATACATCCTTATTTAACTTATGCTTTCATATTCATCATATATACTTGTACTTTCATATATAGTACTTTAAATTAATCACTCTTGATCCATTTATATAATATTTATTATTAAATAATGTTCATTATATTTATTTAACTTATACTTTCATATTCACCATATATACTTTACTACACTTTTACTTTCAAATATTGCATTTTAATTTAATCGTTTTTTAATCCCTTAATATAATATTTAATTTAAGAACAACACATTTTAATGAGTGATATTTTGTTTTCCTCAATTATGCACTTACTTTAGATTTAATACAATACTTTTGGTTTTAGTATTAATAATCCTTCATTTTTCTTAGATGTGAATGAATAGCAGAATCAACACCATATTATGACACTACAAATTATATAAATTAATTATTTAGTGTGCAAAGTCTTTCTATATTAAATTATTACATATGTATCTATCCTGACAGTAATGTGATCTATTTAAATTAATCATTATATGAATATGCATATACAGGTAACACAAATATGCCGCTAGCCAAATGATCAACATAACCTGGCACAGATTTCTTGCTTGCCAGTTTGTTAATACTTTCATATTTGAATATTAGAGTTCTAAAACTTTTACATTTACAAGACATTTTGCCAATACCTTCATTAGTGTCTTTGCATATACTTAATTTATTATTCTGTAAAACAAATTATAAATTGTTATTATTTAGATTTTTATATTAAGATGTTAAAGGTTCCAATACATATATAAACTTGTTTTTTTTTAATTTTTTTTTATGTTTTTATAGCATAAAAAAAGCTTTTCTTAACAATATCATTATTTTACTACTAATTAGTATGAGGTTAAATATTATTTACTAAAAAATTTACTTAAATTTATTATTCATTCTTTTGCATTCACTATGTTTGTCTATTATGTTTTCTTTATTTAATACCTTATTATTTTTCTTTTGAATATTATGCTCAACAAAAACAATATTTATTAATGTTAGGTAAAATCTATTAAAAAGGTCAAATAAAGGTTTTATGATATGCTGATCAAACACCTTATTTATTATTTTTTTTTATTACACAATCTTATATCACAAATCTGTCATTAATAAACTTTAAATTACTTAATATATTAATTAAAAACTACTTAATAATATATGATGCAGCCAAATAAAAATTGAACATATTTGATATAGAAAATATGCTTTGTGATTAGCTTTATGATATAATAATTACATTAATTTGCAATCATTAATTGTCATATATCTTTTATTTTATTATTTATTATATCAAATAATAAATAATATAATAAAAGAGATGCAACCATTTTAATGTATAATTTTACAATACAATAGTTATTTAGTTATTATTAACTATTAACAGTTTTATTAGTTACCATAGTGGCAGAAGGCATATGTGTAACAGTAGTTGCATATGATCTACATAACCTAGCACAAAATACTAATGTGCTTTTATATTAGATTTTAAATACTATGTACAATTATTTTAGATATATTATATTGAATACAATATGTAAATTAGATACAGTTAGACATATTGAGCACAATATATAAATTAGATATAGTTAGACATATTGAGTATAATATATAAATTAAATGTGCTAAGATATTAAATATATAATAAAATTTTAATTATTATAATATATTACTAACTTACTGTTCTTAAATTATATATATATATATATATATTAAGACTAATATTAAAAGCAACTAATGCCTTTATTTGTATTTTTATTTAATACATTATATATTACTTATACAGAATGAGTATACAACTAGTCATATGTATAACTTTTGATTAGAGAGCTGTCAAATATTAGCTAATATTATAGAGTAGAAAAGTATAAAAATTATTAGAATAGAATCATCATTCAAAAAAATTTTAAAATCACATGATGTACATTACTAATATTATCCTTACATATATTGATATACAGTATTTGCAGTATTTAAATTTTGTTATCCCTAATATTAAAAGTCTACTATGCTTGCATTTAGTATATATATTTATTTTGATCCGTGTTACATAAACCTTTCTTTTCAAAATTATGAAGTGCAATTATTGCAAACTTAATAGACTAAATAAAACTTTTAAAAGTTTAAAAACCAATAAACACAAAAATGCTAATTCTACTAATCTAAAGACATATTTGAATTGCTGTAATCAAATATTAGCAAATAATAAATTAAAAAACAAAGAACAACAAAATAAACTTATAATAAAAAATTAAAAAAAACATAATAATACCAGAAAATATTATGGATTTTATTTTAACTTCCTTTCCAAAAATTTATAATTCTAATGAATACCTATTTAAAAAGAGGTTTTATATAATTCTAAAACCATTATTAAATATTGTTGATACAAATTCAGAAGATTAAATAAATAAAAAAGTTATATAACTCATTATTAATCTTATTTCAAAAGCAAATAGATTTGCTAGATATATTATAAATTTCAAATATTAAAAAATTCAGCTTCATCTGTTTATTATTGTAACTGTCATGAAGAACTAAAAAATAAAAAGGCACAAGTTACTACTATTTTAAGCCACCATGATACAATGCCAAGAATTGTTTAATATGATTGTAGTAACACAATTCGGATTAATATTAAGCAAATTCATAACTTAGCAATAGTTAATATTTATTATTACATTCATCCTCTACCTGAAACCATAGAAGTTTCTTCACAAATCTGCAATTATATTATTAATCATAATTAATTAACAGTTCTACAGCTTTATAGTAATATTAAAAATAAAAAAATTAATAGATTTTTGTATATTACTCAACAACAAGTTTACTATTGGTCTAAAAAACTCACTACAATGAAGTATAAATTTGCTGATAATCAGTTAGAATCAGCACAACAATATTTGAAGAATAATTCAAATTTCAAACTTTTTTAGCAAGATCAATATTCATTAGCTTTTTTAATCTCTTTGCTATTTATATTACTAAGTAATGTTACAAAAACTATTATTGTTAATTCTACTTATAGGATGAATTATTTAAAATATAAATTGTTTGCAATTTTTAGAACTATAGATAGTAGTAGGTTTCTATTATCTTGCTTTTTTTTTAAACTAAAATGTCTATATAGTAAAACACATGCAATTGCAACATGGTTTCAAAACCTATAAGAAAATAGGATTCAAATTATTTTAATAAATAAAGATTATAGACAAATTAGTATAGCTAATAAAATTTGAACTAAGGCATGGATCCAATTATATTACTAGCATATGATACATACAATTAAGAAAAAACTCTCAAATATTAGTATTACACATAATTATTATAATTCTCATGAAGCACATTTATTTTGTTCAACTATTGATTCTGCATGACAACTAGTTAATCAAAACCAAAAGTTTACAAATCTTACAAATCAGAAAAATCTGTCTAGCAATAATAATAAAAAGAAAGTTTTTGTTAAAAAAACTTCTATAAATTAATTCTTCAAATGGTCTGTGTTCACTTTTCATGGCATCCAGTAATACCAATTAAGTACTTACTAAATTTTTTAAATATAAATCAAATTTGAAATAAAAGCATTAAGAAACAATATGACTATTGTTACAAAAATAATCTGAAACACATTTGGGTCTATTTATAGTATGAGTAGTATCATCTTAAAATATGAAAACAATAGGCTCATGCATCAACTCTAAAACTTAATATTTTACAAAGCATAATGGCTATTGAAAGCCACAGGCAGTCTTTAAAAACATGATTTTTTTTAAAGCTATAATTATGCATAACTGGATTTGATTATTTATATTATTATTGTAAAAGTTATATTGTATTAAATAGATCAGTTACAATTATTACACAATAATAGGTATATGTTAAAATAGCAAGATAATTTTTAACTTGAATGAAAAAAATTAACTACTAAAATAGTTAATACTAATTCTATCCATATTACCAACTCATTATACTGAATCTGTTTATATTCTAGTTTTTTTTTAAGTTATTTTCATTTATGCAAACATTTAATAGGAATTTATAGTCCTGTTGAACAGTTTTTTTAGAAAGATATCATAAAAACAATTATCTATTTATTTAAACTTACAAATTCTTACAATAATTTTTTATTTTAAGATAATATATTAAGAGCATTATCCCTTATTAAAAGTCAAAAAAGAAAATGCCTTTTCTGATTTGCCTAAAAACATTTATACCTCAATTAGAAATTTAAACAATTCTGGATCACAAGCTAATAATCAATTTCATGAACAAGAATCTCAAGCATATGAACAAGGATTTCAAGTTAATAAACAAGAATCTTAAGTCAATAAACAAGAATTTCAAGTCAATAAACAAGAATTTTAAGTTAATAAACAAGAATTTTAAGTTAATAAACAAGAATTTCAAATCTATAAACAAGATTCTAATACAGTTAATCTAAGTAAATACTTGATAGATATTACTAATGATAATCAAGATTTAATTTTGTTTCAAAACTGAAAAAAAGAAATTTTTAACTTGTTAAATGAAATTAAAAATATTCTCAAAAAAAATGTGGCAAATCCAAACAAATAGCTTGATAGTATAGAAAAAAACTTTAAGGCATTGCAAAAATTAGTAAAGAATTGCAAATATATTGAAAAAAAACTATATTCTAAATACATAAAAAACTCGCAGTAATAATACATTTTGATTATAATTGCTAGTTTATGTTTTATTATAATTAAATAAATAATTACATGTTGCAGTAATCTTATGTTTTTATATATAACTCATTATGTTTTATTATAGTTTGATTATAATAATACATGATTAATAGAAGTAAAAAATTAATATAATATTATATTATATATCTGAAGAATGAAAGGCTGAAAACATTTAAAAATCTTAAACATGTTAATTTTTAAATGCTAATTATTAAATAAAATAGCATTATTAACACAAATTAACAAACTAGTACAATTAAATTGTTAAACCTCTTAACTGGACAAAATGCAAGTATTCATAAAATATGCATATACAAGTGTATATATAAATATAAGTAACTTTTAATTGTAATATGTACAAAAAAATTAATCAATAATATATATGTTATATAACATATTTTCATGTTATATGATTTTGAAACTTTTTTGAATAATGATTTTACTCTAATTTATAAAAATATTCTAGATTTAATTTTGGCCAGCATTAGTCTATAATTCTGGCCAACCATAGAATTATACTTTTAGCCAATCAACATTTGGTATATACTATATAAGCATATCATAATTAATGTGATTGGCTAGAAATTATGCAATAGTATGTACATATATTGAACTTTAACTATTGTTTAACTATTTTTAATTTTGATTTATTTAAAAATATAATATGAATTTACAAAACTATGAAATACAATATAGTTTTCTTTATGCTCTATCTTACTTTATTCAAGATCTTATCAGAAACTTAAATTTTCAAAACTGATTTGGTTTTTTTTTATATGCACAGTCTCTATTCTACTATTCATCATCTAAGACATTGTCATGATTGTTAATTTCTAGAGTAGCTGAAGTCAAACTTAAGTTAAAATTATCAAATGAGTTTGAAAGTGTAATATGTTTATATTTTTTTTGTTTTATGGGTTCAGATTTTTATGAGTTATGATCATCTTGAGCATAGGAAAATATTTTTCATATACAGTATAGCAGAAACAATGATGCAAAAAAAACTCTTTTCTATTTTATATCAGATCAAGAAAGACAAATAAAAATAACAATCATAAACTCAACAAAAAAAAACTAAAACTTATCAAATAAGATACTAACAAAGGTCAGAAACTTTGTTTCAAGAAAAAAAAAGTTTCTTCTAAGAGTGGAGTTACTGTTAACAGAAAAAATCTTCAAAATATGAAAATTTGATTTTGAGAAAAAAGAAAATATAAACAACTTTCTCATTGAAAAATAAATAATGCAGATGATAAACTTATTTCAACAGCTTAAAAAAAACATAAAACTAGTAAAAAATAAAGATCTAGTACTATTAGTAGTAGTTCAAAATAATAAAAACTGATTAGAAAACATAATTTAAAGTAAAAAAAGTGCTTGGATTTTAGAAAACATGTTCAGACATAGAAATGAAACAGGTGATCAAAATAAAAACAATAACAATAACTAAAACATGTACCATTATGAAAACTTAACCTGTAGACAAAGTGGCTCAAAACTATGCCTTAGTAATCAAACAAGATACAAACTTGACAACTAAATTGAAAAGAGAAAAAACTATTTTTGTTGCTTTTTCATTTAGAAATTAAGTCAGATTTAAAAATAACAATGCACTAATTATTAAAATTTCTATTCTTTATAATTTTCTAAATAATATTATAATCTTTTATATAAAGAATTAGAAAAAGATATAGTAGCTGCTAAATAGTACTTTAGAAAGGGTCTAAGATCTTATCTTGAAATTGTATTCGTAAACCAAAACTAACTGGCATATTATGCAACCAAAAGAGTCAAAATTTTTAATAAAACTTACTATAGATATATCTCTACAAATGCATGCAAGTCATTTCTTTCAGCCAAAATAAGAAATATTTCTTTAGACACCAAAAAACAAGTTTTTATATTGGTTAAAGAAACATTCAAAAATTTTGAAAAGCTTGCCTTAATCAAATTATTATTTATTGAAGATATTCTATATATAACAGACTAATAGATTGTTATTTTTGATAACATAGAAGACTCTAAGTTAGAACAGAGAATCTCTCACTTTATATATATTGAAAATAATTGAGTCATTACTGAATGAAAAAAGACACCAAAAGTATACTACTTCTGTAACCAAACAGGTCATATCAAAAAAAATTTGCCTACAATTTTAAGAAACAAAAAAGTTAAAACAACACTTTCAAAAATTTTAAAACAAAAAGAAGAATCTAAATAAAACATCAGATAAGATTATTACAGAGGTTCAAATGGATACTGACAAAGAAAATCTCATAGTTCAATAAACTACAGAATACATTAATACAAAGATGACACTTAACTAAAAACAAACAATGGAATCAGAAGAGAACCTTATTGCAAATAAAATAGACTTTAAAACAGAATCACTTATAGATAATGAACTAATTATAGATACTTGCTTTACCAACTCAGTTTTAGAAAATCTTAATACAAACCAGAAAGATGATTATAGAGTTAGCCAAGAAAATCCTAAAAATACAGTCTTTACACTAGTAGTAAGAAAAATAAAAAGACACAAGAATGCAAAACCTTACAGCATAGCTAACAAAGAGAATCAAAATAATAAACCAAAACAAAGAACCTAAGAAAGCTCTAAAAATTACTAATTTTTTATAAATAATACATTAATCAAAATAGATTCTTTAAATGTTAAAGAACTAAATAATTCAGACAAACAACTTAGAACATTAATCTTGTTAAAATTATATAAACTAGATATTATTCTTTTAAAAAAAACAAACATTTTTAATAATGCAATATAGCAATTTCTAAAAGACCAATAGTCTTTTAACTCAATTTAGATAAGCAGAACAGTAATATTAGCAGGCAACAAGAAGATAAAGTTTTAGGATACCAAGAAGTTTCTTAAAGACAGAATCATCTTCATCTGCTTTATTTTTAAAAAATTTTTCTTTTATATAATTAACACATATGCATCATCAAATGTTTCAGACAAAGTTGCATTCTTTAACAAATAGAATATAAACAAAAAACAAAACATGATCAACATTTTAGCAGAAGATCTAAATACAAACTTAAACCCAGAAATAAATAAAAAGAGTCAAGCAACTTCTCAAAATAACTCCTCAAAACATTAGTTAAAAGAAATAACAAAGGACTATATTAATTCAGTTTTTTTTTTTCTACAAAACCTTTTTTACATTCTATCAAAAAACACATAATGATCAAATTATTATTATTTTTTTTTTGGTGTTAAGGTGACCTCTTCGGTCTTTTGACTTTTATTAATCACTTATCAGTATTGTGGTTCAATGAACCAGTACAGGAGAGTGTACAATTGGCTATATGTGTAACTTTTCTATATTACCTATTTAAAGAGTTCGCCTGAAGGTTTTCTACCAATTGCTGTATCTAACATCTTTGCTTGGGTGTTCCACTTTAAACCCTCTGAACCTGTAATCTGTGTTAACATCACTGGGTCATACTCAGATGCCCAGATCATCGTCTTAACCTTAGGACTAATTTATCCTCAAGGTAAACCCCTTAGAGCCTTTTGTACCTATTTTTACAGCTAACCTAGGTATCATTATGGCAAAACTAACACTTGTAGTCAGGACTAACTATTAAACTACTATGCCCTTATAGAGTTTACTTAGATCCTAGCATCTACTTCACAGTATAACCCTGGTACTTTAGTATACTCCTGCCTTTTTCTCTGCTTTTTTACCAAACTTTTAATCCAGATAGCCCATGTAGAACTATGACTAGTCTATCAGTATATCAAGTCAGCCTAATATCTGTTTCCTCTGGTTCATTCTGGTGGCCTGGTTGGTGGTACTTCTAAGACTCCCAACTTAGAGGTTCTTGCCTGTCCAGCTACTAGGACCAGGTACTAGACCTAGGTATCTATTTTGCTAGGCTAGCCTTTACAGTAGGGCCATCGAAGATCCAGCTACCTCTCTACTTAGGTTTTCTCAAATGGACTTCTTGTTACCTAATTTCAACAGATTTACACAGCCATAAGGACTTATCTAGTGTTTGCATTACTTGATATGTCAGTTTGCATTTCTCTAGATAATTCCAATATTGTACAGATGCCTCATAACCTGCCAGTCATGCTAGTGTGACCACCATTACAGGTATCCTAACCCAACTGTTAGTAACAGTTGCTGTAATACGAATATTACATAAGTGATTATCCAAATTTTCACTATCAATGGGATTTGAACACCTAACCTACCACTTGAAGGGTTGACAACCTGACTACTTCACTAGGTCACCACACCTCTTAATGATCAAATTATTACTATTCTGTTAGATTATATTTTTATAGATAAAAATTATAGTTATTTTAAATCAAAAACAAAAACAAAATTTAAAAACTTAAACTACTTCTTAGTTAAATGCACTCTAAGTCTAAAACAGAATTTTAAACATCTTATTATCTAAAGATTTAATCCAAACTCCTTTAAGAACAGTTTGTTGAAAAAAAAAGTACTAAAAAAAATCAAAGATACTATTTCTTCAACAAACTAAGATATATACAAGATCTATATTAAATTAATTATTAAAGCTTTCAAAAAACCCAAAGCTCTGAAAGACAAAATTGAAAAACTAAATAAGAAAATCTGT